CGATGATGTCCTTCGGCACGTCCACGAACTGATAGACCAGCCTCTGTCCGTCGACCTTCGCCAGGATGCCGCGCTGGTAATAGTAGCGCAACGCGCGGCCCATCGTCTCGTAGTTCATGTCCGGTTTGTTCTTGTGCAGGCCCCAGAGCCGCGAGACCGCTTTGCTGTCGACCAGCTTGAAGACGCCTCGCTCGCGGTTCGTCCACTTGATGTACCGCGGACAGTACTCCCTGTCCTGCAGGAGCTTCAGCAGGAACTCCCAGAGATAGGTGGTCGAGCCCTCGCGGGATTTCCTCTTGACGGCGGCCCCGTCCCCCTGCCGTGGCTTCTTCAGCTTGTTCTTCTTGGACCGGGGCGGGAAGCCGAGCTCCAGCAGGTACAGGTCGTCCGAGACCGAGCTGGTCGCCGCCTGGATCACGCTGGTCGGCACGCCCCCGTGGCCGCGCGGCGGACTCGGGGTGCACGGGGTCGCGAACTGACCGCCGCTCGCGTACATCGAGTTCACGTAACTGCTGTAGCTCTCGGACACTGTCAACAGAAAGATTTTGCGTTAGTTCTCCCGGGACACACCCCTCCTGCGTCCTCGACGAAGCTATCGACGCAAACAGATTCTTTAATGCGCAAAGCGAAACGTGCTGCATCATCCGATGCGAACAGAATTCTGCGTATCTTATTTCGAGCGTTTCTTCGGAGAACTAATCGCGGCTCCCGAAATTCTAAGTTCAGGGTTCGCTCTCCTCGGGATCAAGTCCAAGTATCTTACGTTCGTTGGTGGACGATCGAGTCGAGTCTTCAGCGTTCGCCTCGGAGAATATTCAATTTTCGACTGGTCGCGAGCAAGAAACTGCTTGGTTCCATGATAAACTGCCGGCCAGAAGACAGCCGCGGCGTGCCGAAGGAACTCGCGGGACAAGGGATCAACGTGTAATCGGATCGAGAGGCTTTAACAGCGAATAATCGTGAGGAACGATAGAATCGTCGGGATACGGGCGTCGCTCGATCTACCGCGAGATAACTCGTCCCGTCCGGACGGTTAACAGGTTAAACGTATTCCCTCGCGGTACAGGTAAACCAAGGGCGAGAACGGAGATAGAGAGCTCGGGGACATTGATTAAGTGTTATGGCGGTGCTCGTACTTTTTCTTCGCGTCGTAATGATCGCCGGGCCGCGGGGCGTGCGGCGTTAATCGTCCGGTATTTAAAAGTTAATTGTAATCCGTCGGTGCCGGCGTCCGCGTTCGCGCGATCCGCGCCAGGTGGCGCCACCGTTTTCGCCGGGCCACGCGTTAAAGGATAACGTAGATCATCGCGCGATTAATTACGGGGCGAGTCCGGTGATTACGGCCTTTTTTTCTGCCGGCATTGAAACTGGAGCGGACTCGTTATCCCCGGAAGAATGAAATTTAGTGGCACGCCAGGCGGCGGCGACTAGGTCCTTTTAATCTGCTAGGCGATCCGAGTTAATTTAACGTTCGAGTATTACCGGTTGATTGGATCTGGATCGCAACCCCTGGCTCTCCTCCTCCTCCCCGTGGCTCGCCTCCGAGCACGCACACGTCTCGGGACCGGCGATGATAATTGTAAACCGAGAAACGTCTGCCAGCTCGCGCGGAGGAACGCGAGAGAGCCGGAGAATCGGGCGGCGTTGTCCGTCAACCGCGGTTCCGAGCGCGGCAGCCTCGAACCCGATGACGTGCACGCGTATTTACCGGAAACTCGATCTTTCTTAAGAACTCGTCGCTCGCCTAGATCGGGAAAAGAAACGAGCCGCGAGTCGGACACGCGGGACAGCTTAATTGCGACGGACACTCGCGATCAGCGAGATCTAGGGGCGCGAGATTCGTCTGTCGCGTCTCAACGGTGGCGGGAGGAAAGGAAATTTTTCGAAGGAAACTCTGTGTTCTAACGAGACGATAAATGATGTTACGATAATTGGGACGAGTTATTTAGAGATCGTTCGAAGGGAAACCGGAAAGGAGGAAAAAGAGAATTCCATGGGGATTAGGAACGACTGTTTGTAGTAGCCTTCGATCGTCCTGTTACAGTAACATGAAAATTTGAAATTCCCCTTTCGAAAATGGACCATAGAAAAACAGTCGTGAATGTTTCTTGTTTCTAGATACAACATGTATAGAGTTTCGTTGGAAAACAGATGTCTACGTCTGGTCTTCAGTGCGAAATTCTTCTATGGAACTATCGGAGAGCCACCGGAGCTTCTCATGGGAATCGAAGCAGTCCACCAAAGACTAAAGTGTACATTGAAATATTAACAAACACGCTCGGTAGGTTCTCGCGAGGAGATAAAGGAAACTGACAGACTGTAAATCCGAAAACGTCGATCCGTCTGTTATTCCGGTGTTATTAACGTCTTATCTTGAAAGTAAACGCGCGCCCGCGACGAGCAAACAGTTCGTCCGCGCCGGGAGATCGAATATTTCGAGGTTCCCCACTTGTTCGATCGGCCGAGGTCCCCGCGGCGAGTGCGTCTGATCGCGCCGCGGACGATTCCACTGCGCCAATGTCTGACAACCGTCGTCCCGGATTACTGTCGGCCGCGGCGCGTCCGATCGGTGTCCTATTCCACTGATAATCGGCCGGCTGTTTAACCGGAAGCCGGATCAATTCGTCTCGCCGCCCCCGACGCGAGTCTCACCCGCGGAAAGGGAGACGCCTGTCCGCGGAGGAGAGGCCTGCTCTTCGTCGAGAGCATCGTTAACTATACACACCGTGTTCATCCGTGCAATGAACTATTAATAGCTGTCCACGGCACCGCCGCCGGCGCTTCGCCGTTTCTGTCTTCGATGATCGATGTTTCGGGACGGACGCGCCGCGATAACGATGTTTCTTTAATCACGGGCTGCGATCGATCCTCCGCCGACTCGGAGACGCGCGCGGAGTACCCGTGTATCGCCGGCCATTTCCGCGCCGCGATTCGGCCGGATTCGCCGCGTCCAATTGATATTAGAGTCTAATGGAGTTTCTCCGCTTAACGCGGTTTTAATGCCAGAACCGGCGAGGAAGTCGACGCGTTTCGCATTTCTTGTTTTACAGTTGCGTAGACGTTAGGCGAACTCGTTTACGTTAATGCGCATTTTAAAATGCGAGCTAATTGGGATGATAATGAATGTACTCCTGTAATTTATATGAAAGAATACCAGTCGACCGAACTGCTCGGCGGTTCTAGCCGTCGACCGACCGGGGATTATTCCGTTTCTCAAGGAAACGCGTCGCCTATCGAGTTCTTTTTACTTTCGCGTTTACGCTCTCCTCTTATTTTCTCCGCGAGCAGAGTTCCCGACGGTCGCGCGGCATACGCACGTACGCCGGTAACGTCTGCCCGTGGTCATGGGCGTAACGAACGGTTCATGCGATTTTAAGTGCGACCCTGCCGTTGACAGGCACGTCTCAATGTTACGTGCGCCAGAGCCAGCGATTCTCTCCGCTGCGACCTGCGAAACTGCGGGTCCCCTCGTAAGAGGCGAAAGCTATAACGAACTGCATTCCTTGGAATTCGAAACTGGCGTAACAATGCATCGAGAATTCAACGGGGTTCGAACGTTGCGTCGTATCTATCCGCGGCGAAAGTCAGCAGCATTTCCCTAGAACCGAGCAACGCGTCACCGTTGCTGGAACTATTACATCAGATTCCGACGTCTCATTATGCCAGCGTTCGAAGAATCTTTTCCAGCGATCCGGCCGACCACCGGCTCCCCCCGAGCGTCGATCTTATTCGAACAGCGCGAAATTTTGTCGCGCAATCGCGGCCGGTTAAAGGGAGCCGAGAAGCGGCTCTCGCGGAGGATGCCTCGAAATAGAAAGTATTCGTACGCCATTGGTCATGTGGCCGGTGCCGTGTGCTGCTGCTGTCTCGCGAGAGGAAACGGGAGAGCCGGGAGAAAGAGAGACAGAGAGACCGGGAAGCTCGGGGTGAAGAGACGAGGAGAGGGTTAAGCGGAGCCAAATGAAGGGGGCAAAGCGGCGGCGGTGGCGGCGGTGGCGGCGGTGGCGGCGGTGGCGGCAGCCGCGGGAGAACGACGATCGGAGAGGGAGCCGAGAGAGCGACCAAGAGAGAGAGAACGGAAAAAGCAACGGAGAAGGAGAGGGAAAACAAAAGGGTAGGGGAACTCTGGCTGCAGTATGATAGAGGACTGACCCGAGCCAAGGTTGCACGGGTGACGCCATCAAGCTACTAGTGCATAATAGCGCCGCTCGTTCGGAGGCCGCCGCGACTGCGCTAAAATCGGAACTCGTTCTACCCTCCTCCTTCGCCGCTGTTCCTCCTCCAACCGCCATCCTCTGTCCTCTTTCTCTCTCTCTCTCTCTTTCCTTCTTGCTCTGTTGCCGCTGGTTTCTCCGTTTCTCTCCGATCCCCGTAGTTCCGCGGAGCGGTTGAACGATTCCTCCTCTCGAGAAGCTTTTCTGCTTCCGAGGGAGACCGGAGACGCGGCGAGGGGAGAGGAAAACAAGAGAAAGAGGGACGAATAGGAAAAATGCGAAACGGTCGGAGGAACGAGGGTGACGCCGGAGGGGCGGCGGGGGCCAGAGGGGGACCGAATTCTCGAGGTGTCTCTAAAAATAAAGAGAACGCCCCGTTGTTCTCGGGATCCGTGTACATAGGCTGTAGAACTCGCGGGATGCTTGGGAAGCGTGTGTGCGAGAGAAGGAGAGGGACAGAGAGAAAGAGAGAGTGAGAGAGTGAGAGAGACAGAGGCGAGGAGAGAAGGGAAGAAGAAGAGGAAGAGAGAGAAGCTAGGAGTAAAAGAGCTCAGCGGAGAAACAGCTGGAGCGGATCGTGTTTACGCGCCGTATGACTGGCTAGATGAGTCAATCGTAGACCCGTTGTCTAGGAGCCGCGTGGTGGGGGAGCTACTACTTCACTGACCTATACCACGGACGTCGTACAGCGAAGGGAGACCGCTAGAGACGACGTTGCATCGCGTACGCATGACTGTTCCGTGACGCATAGAGCCGCCGCTCTCCTGCATAGAGGCATAGAACTAGACGCGCGAGGGGAGCGACGCACGGGGGAGCAGGAGAGCACACCGCTGTGACGATTTTCTGTTCGCGATGGAAACGTTTGCGCAACGGACACGCGCTCGCTCGGAGGAGGGAACTGTTACGAGATCGGATCGCGACGCGAGTTGTACGCCGCGATCGGCGCTAGGGAAACTGTTCGCGGTTTTAGGAGGAACGATTTTAGGAGTCGATGCTCGCGTTTAGAGTCGAAGGTTTCGGGGTCGACGGTACGGTGGTTCGAACGATCGGTCGATCGGAATGTCGTTCTCGGATTCGAGAGTTTGTGATTTCGTCCGCTGGAGAATCGCGACGCTCGAGAAGGTTTTCGGTGGATTTTTACGTCGTTTTGCGCGTAGGTTCTTGATTTCGTGCGGATTCCTTCTCGGGGAAGGTTGTTTAGGTGGCAAACAACATCGACGGGCGGCCGAGGAGAAAAAGCTGGATTTAGGGAGACTCTACGATCGAAAATCCAGCTTCTGGCGACATTCTTCGTCGTATTCGCGGCTGGCGA